CCCTTCCTGTTCATTAAGCAACTCATGCCACTTTGCCCTGAAGAGAACAAAAACATCTTTGTCCCCTCCCCTGTCTGACAGGTGGTTGTGTGGCTGTGGGGCTTGGAATTTGAAATTTTCTAAGTTTTGTTGGATTTGTTGGCTTGCTTTGCAGTTTCCTCCTGCCCGAATCCCATCCACATCCCCTCAGAGTCATTTACTCTCTAACTGCCTAGCAGTTGGTGTCAGAGTGGAGGCAACTGCAACAGCATGTTTTCTGTAAAGCCAAGACAAGGATTTCAGATGTGGGGAGCTGTCCCAGCCCCTTTCTGCCTCCAAATTGCTGCCTCCTCTTTACAGGGAAGACTCGATCTTTGAAATAATTTAAGAGCAAATAAAATACACTCCAAGAAATGACAGTAGAAGAAAGTGATCATTTTACCCAAATCTAAACAAAGCAAAAATCAGTGAAACCACCTAATGAAATTGTGAGTGAAAAGTGATCCATTACTGATAACTAAAAAACTTAAAAATTGTCACACAATTCTGTGTTAATATTTGGTAGACCCTCCATTAAATGAATAATTTGGGGAGTATAAAAGTGTCTCACATGAAGCAGCAGAAAATGTCACAGGACCATAATAATGAGAGGATTTACAAATGTATGACATTATAAGTATACAAAACATATAAGGCAATACTCCCTTTGACAGCCCAGCATTGGGACTCCTCTGTAATCACGGCCAGCAGAGGACCTCTCTGCCTGCTATGCTGTAAGAGAGAGAAGAAAAGGAGGGGACTTCATGGTCTTAAAGTCAGAGAGATTGAGGAACGTTGATATATTTGTTTCTTGTAAATACACAGTGGCTGTGATCCTCTAGAGAAATCACCAGTTCTGTCTTTATCTACATGCAAGAGTCTTGATATGCAGGGACTCCCACCTGGTTCTGCAGTCTCTTCTTTGCACTCCTCTTCCCTGAACCCCATGACCAGTGTTCCAGGAACACCAACAGCTCTCTGAAGGCACCAAATTCATCCATGCTGCGCCTGCATCATGTCTGCCACCTGGAAGGAAGGCGCAGCTGATGATGCAAAACCAAAGGGACACTTGTCCCTAAAGAAGGGTTTCCAAAATTGGCAACTGTTCTTTTTAAAATCTGAGGGAATTTGAGCTTCACTTACTAAGAATAAAATACAGAGACCTGCCTTGTATTCTCTTCCCAATTTCTCCCAGTCTGATCTCCCAGGTCCTTGATACTACTGGCAAAACTACTCCGTTTATATATGTATATACACACAAACTTCTGTTTTTAGTTTTTTTTAGCAGCTTTGAGATGTTCTTGATATAGGAAAATTGTAAATATTTAAGGTATATGACTTGATGTTTGAATGTATGGATACACTGTGAACTGATCAACATAATCAAGCTGGTTAACAGTCTCATTTACAGTTAACCATTGTGTGTGTGTGTGTGTGTGTGTGTGTGCAAGGGTGTGTGCTGAGATTTAATTTAAACTCTATTCTCCTAGCAAATTGAAAGTATACAGTACAGTGTTGTGAACTTTAACAAATACCTCAGAATGGGTGGCTTCCAAACAATAGAAACTGATTTCTCACAGTTCTGGAGGTTGGAAAGTCCAAGGTCATGGTGCCAGTCTGGTGAGGGCTCTCTTCCATGTTGCAGACTCCTGATTTCTGTCTGTGTGCTCACATGGTGGAGGAAGTGGGGATCTCTCTGGGGTCTCTTGTTAAGGTTCTAATTCCATTCATGCATGAGGGCTCTGCCCTCAGGACCTAATCACCTCCCCAAAGCCCCACCCCTGATACCATGACATTGGGCATTAGGATTTCAACGTGAATAGGGGATGAGGTGGCCACAAACATCTAGACCATGGCACCATGCTCTATGTAAGGTCTACAGAATGCATTCGACTTGTGTCACTACAACTTTGTACCCTTTGACCACATCTCCCCATTTCCTTCTCCCACAAGTCCCTGGTAACCACCATTGCACTCTCTACTTCTATGTGTTTGACAATTTTAGATTCCACATATAAATGTCTCTGTAAAATGAATCATACAGTATTCCTCTTTTTGTATCACAGGTAGACTTTAATTATGATTCTGGTGTTGCCATATACTGGTCCTTATCAAGTAAAATGAATTCTAGGAGATACACTTCGTTGTTTTAAACAAAAAATAAAGTAATGAAAATTACCTGATGAGTTACTGTGAAAATTAAACAGCAGAATATTTTTTAATAACTGCTGGTGTAGCCTAACTCATAAGCAGTGATCTAGAATGGTGTCTATTATTTTCCTAGCTCCCTGCACCTGTGACTTGAAATAAATTACTTAAAAGTATTTACTTTCAAATCTATTGCCTTTAAGTAGTAGAATAACTTGCCTAAGTAATCAAAGATATTTTAAAGAATTTTATGTAATTGTATAATAAAACATTCTTATCTTCCTGGCTGCTAATCTTATTTGGCAATATACAGGGAGAGTCAAGAGTACTTTGTGAGACTTTCAACAGTTTTGTAGGCCAAACTGCAGTTTTTCCTGGTCCACCTCACTCTTGCCGGTGAGCAGGGAGACTAACAGTTATCAAGGAAAGCCCAGTGGGAAGGGAAGGAACTTGTTTGTATGACTCAAGCAGAGCTTGCTGGGACCCCTGGGGACAGTCTCTAAGGGTGCAAACAGATCGTTCCTCTTGAGTGAATACTATGAAGTGATTTGCTGGTTTCACATTTTAAAAATAAATATTTTATGTTATAACAAACTGCCAGATTTTTTTCAAAGTGGTTGTCCCATATTGTAGTTCAGAAAGAAGAAAAGGATGGTATGGAGTGTTGTGGTTAATGCCGTGATATACAGTAGATGAGACTTTTGTTTGGTGTATCTGTTTTTGAGCTGTAAATCCTGTTGACAGTCAGAGGGGAGTGGGGGGGCTCAGTGTGGGTGTGTGAGTGTGGTGTGTACAGGGGAGGACTGGCTGTGAGGGCCAGAGGAGATGAGCTCCCTTCTCCCTAATACTTCTTTCACATGCCACCCACAAACCCGCATCTCTGCTTTGACTCCACTTTCCCTTTTAATCTCTGATCTGACCCCACATCCTGGGCCCTGTGGAGTTAATGGGTTCCTTTCAGACTCTATGAGATGTTTGTCTAAGGTGTGAAGTGTTTCTCGGATGTGAAAAAAGATCCGCTTGGAGGTTGGGGTGCAAAAGATGGCTCTTTATCACGTTCCTTCTTTTTAGCCCCCAAGAGCTCGCTTTCTTCCAAACTCAAACCTTAGTACATGTCATGTATTTCTGAGTAAGATGAGACATGGCAGCTTTGGAATATAAAACCGTGGATCAGTCTGTACTTTGAAAACTGTGGCTGTATTCGAGGACCTGACCTTTTTGAGCTTGTCTGGGAAGAGGTTATGGAAATTTCATCTGGAAAATGTCGGAGGGAATCGAGGCCCTGGAGAGGGTGGGAGCACAGGGACCACCCCTGCTGTGGGAACCTCCTTAGAGACAGCGGACTGGGAGGAGATCACAGCTCGTCGGGTGTAAGAAAACAGACCGGTAGGATGCCTCAACGAACTGCGCTCCCTCCGCTGCCGCCGAGCCTCCTCCACGCGGCCATAGTGCCGCAGGCCCCACGGGAGCAGCGAATGATAAGGCCTCCTGCGGCTATGCTTCCCTCTAGTCCCTGTATCTCCCATTGTGGAGGAATCTAATGGAAGATCTCCCACTTTAGGCCGACAAATTTTAGCAGTTTCCAGTCTGAAGAAAACACAAGTCACAGGAAGTAATGTGGTTCGAGCGTGCTGGGGTAGGTAAACCGAAGGCGCTGGGATGAGTCTGAGTAAACCCTAGGGACCGAACAGAGAAGATGGGAACATCTGTAGGTCCATATAATGTCAATCATACCAGCCTTTCATTGTGTGCTGCAGCAGTGACGTCGACTGCAGCAACATAGAAGAGAGCCATGATTTCCTTCAGCATGTTCATGCCATTAAAATGATATGTAGGGCTATACAACTGCATGTCTTTCAGTTTAAATGTCACTTTCTATATACAACATTTTGCAATAGATCTGAGACACTAGGGAACAACACGGACCCTCTGCTGTCCTCTTCTGCTTTAGAACTTGTCGTTGAAATCTTAGACACACCTTTTCATTGCTTATTACCTCAGCTCCTTACTCAATTTCCCTAGCATGGAGCTGAGGAAAGGAGTTGATAATTTCCCAGAAAGAACTCCGTCTTAATCTCACTTCTCAGCACATTGTACCTTGACCTCTGTTACATGTGTCTCAATACGATATTTCCTTTCCCACCCCTACAGAACCGTGCGTCTGTGCCTTCCATCTGGACGAGGTCCATATCTGGTGTGTATTAACTGTCTATTCAGGGGCCTAGTACAGGGCACAATTAACAGGAGGAAATGGATTTTTTTATTTTAAAATATTTTTTATTTAATTCACAAGAACAAAGGCAGGCAGCTGTGGTATAAAATTATATTAACATCTATTGAACACAATAAATATTAGGTATCTATACGAGGTCATATTCTGGGCAGAGGAGATAAAGTAAATATACAGTAAGATGGTAATGTAGTATGCATAAAGATGGAAATTACTGTGGTATAAATGTCAAACACAGAAACATCAACACAAACAAGTGAAAAGGGCTGCAATAGACCTGGGTATATATAGTCCCTAATAAAGGGCTTTGTGATTTTTAAATAGATGTCAGGCCAGGTCTCAGTGTGGGAAAGTAATTTTGAACAGTCTTCAAGGAAGTGATGGATTTAAAACAGACTTCTGTCCAGAGTGATTAAGGAACATAAAGGCAGTTCGTGGGCTGAGGAGGAGTTGAAGGCAGCTCAGAGGGAGGAGGTGATGGGAGGAGATGTGTAATGTGAACCTCACTAGATGGTGATAAGGACCAACTTAAGTTGAATGATGTGTATTTGAGCAGAGGAACGGCAAGACTGAGGATTGACAAAATGTCCCCCTGGTTGATGGTATGCACAGCGGTGACAGCAGATTACAGGAGACAGTGACAATACGAGGGGGACTAGTGGGGAACTATTCCTGGATTCCAGGTAAAAAGCGAAGCTGGAAGGGACCTAATTTGAAGAGAGTGCCTGTAGGACCTGGTGACCTGAGAGAGAAAGGAAGGAAGAGACAAGGGGCAGCTTTGTGCAGGTGGCCTTCTCTGACAAGGAGTGCTTTCCAAGACAAGGACCTGAGAGCTAGAGCCCTTGAGGGGAGGGTCCCTAATGTGGGGGCAGACCGACCCCTGGACTCAGAGGGAAGGCGTGGTAGAAGAGGGAGCTCCGACAGAGGAACAGGGAGATGTTGCAGCACTTCTGAGGGCCCCAGGCCTCTGGATGCCAAGAGCAGGCCCTACTTTCCCACTGGCTGTTCTCACCCAGGGAGCAGGATGTAGCCTAAACCATCACAAAGCTTTTTCTCCCCACTGTGGAGACACTTTCATTGTTTCTATCCAAACAGTGCAGATACAAAAAGCCTGTGTGTGACAACAGGATATCGAGGTGAGGAAGCACAGGACCTCGTTGGCCATTACCCTACTGTAAAAACATGTGCATTGTCTGCAAAGGGAGCATACATTTTGTCTCTATGTCTGTCTGTCTTAGGTGGGGAAAGTTGCAATGGCATAATGCTTCTTCAGTGATAGGATAAAAGAATTAACGAATAAAGACAAAAAAGCACTTGTATTAATTTTCTAGGGCTGCTTATAAAAAGTGTACTTACAAACAGGTGGCTTAAATGGAATGTATTTTCGCACAATTTTGGAGGATAGAAATACAGGATCAAGGTGTTGGCAGGGTTGATTTCTCCTGAGGGCTGAGAGGGAAGCTGTCCATGTCTCTCTGCTAGCTTCTATTTGCTGGACATCTCTGGTGTCCCTTCATTTGTAGACATACCACCATGATCTCTGCTTTTGTCTTCACATGGTGTTCTCCATGTGTGCATGTCTGTCTGTGTCCAAATTTCCCCTTTTTATAAGGACACAGTCATTTGTATTACAGCTCATCTTAATGACTCATTTTAACTTGATCATTGGGAAAGGAAAAATTTCCAAATAAAGTTACATTTAAACATACTGGGGATTACAACTTCAATGCCTCTTTTTGGAGAATAGAATTTAACCTGTAACAACAATCAATGTGTTTGAAACAGGACAGACTTTATTTTTACACTGTATGTCCTCCATTATATATTGAGATTCTCTTCCATGGCCAACAGATGCCTCACTGGACCTGAAGTTCCTTGGGTCTCTGTCACATGTGTGAGGATGTGAACCCATTATTTTCTGCCCTTGAAACACACACCGTTAGGTGCCTATCAACATCTGTGCCTTATGTCCAAGCCAAGGTAAGACACCCACATCTATAAATGCAAGGCTCCCCAGAACCATCCATCTGGCCTTGATCTCTCCATTCTTAATCCCCACAACATTGGGTACCAATCTAGTTCCTGCAACCTTGACTCTGTCTTTGTTAAAATCTGTGCAGTGGTGAAGAGAACTATAAAGAGGATCCTGAAGATGGTACGTTCACCCCAACTGTACCTATTAAAATAAATGCATTTGATATAAATATAACTCAATAAAACTGTTTTAAAAAAGTGAGTGATGCAAATATCAGGGATAGAATCATTCCATGCAGAGGGAAGAGCAAGTGCAAAAGCCCAGGGGCTACAGAGGGTTTGATGCTTAGTGGGTTTGGGTGGAGAAGAAAAATAGGACAAATAGCACAAGATTCTTAGTAGGAAGGGCCTCAATTTGTCGTATCTGATGAGAGAAACAAGTCAATCACTGCTCTGATGGTGTGAAATTGGTCATGTGATATAAACTAAGGGTAAAGTCTTTGAAATAATTATAGCCCTTTTCATTTTGTCACTTACCTGCTCTTGTCTCTTTCTTTTTCTTTCTTTACTGAACAATAATGTTTTGCCTTGTTCTGAATCCCTACATAGTTGAGCCTTTCTCTTTCTGCCTTTCTTATCCTGTCCCCTTCAACAACAATTCCCAGCCCTCTGGGAGTTTGTGAGCCAGAGCCTCAGGCGTCTGGGCAAGAGAGGCCAGAGGAGTGTTGGATTTGTCAGCACAGGTGGACTTACAGAAGGAGGTGACCTGCCACATCTCTCTGGAGCTCCTGATGAACCCCTGAGCTTGGACTGTGGCCACAGCTTCTGCCAAGCCTGCATCACTGAAAAGATCAAGGAGTCAGTCCTCCATCCAGGAGGTGAATGCAGCTGTCCTGTGTGCCAGACCAGATACCAATCTGGGAACCTCCAGCTGTTGGCATCTGGCCAACCCAGTGGAGAAATGGCTATCAATGCGACCCGAGGAGAGGTCTCTGGGAACACCATGGGGAAGCTCCTGATCTTCTGTGAGGAGGATGGGAAGGTCATTTACTGGCCTTGTGCTCTGTCTCTGGAGCACCACGGTCATCAAATACTCTTCATAGAGGAGATGGTCATGAAATATCAGGTAGGCCCCAGGATGGAGGGAGAGAGGGCAGAATGGTACCTGATGTGAAATACTCACTTTTGTGTTCTACTTTATTCCCCTTGTCGTCATAGACCTGAGTGAGCCCTGAGACCTTGTTCCATACCCTTTGCTCAGCTTCTGAGGCTTGAAGTCTATTTCTGTGCACTCTTTCATTTGCTTCAAGAATAAACATAGACTACAAAATCATAGCAAAGAGTGGTTGGGTGAATGGAGAACTACTTTCCAAGAGAAATCCTGACTGCTGCCCAGATCAGGAGAGCTTTTGGGGAACATGGTTGGGTGAATGTGGGAAAAGTATCAGCGGGAAGAAAGGACTGGCCTTGCTGCAGAATCAGTTCTTCCTCAAGCAAAGAGTCGAGTCACTCTTGATAAGGATGGTAACTTGTTCCACCCAGGGATAAAGAATATATTCACCTCCTCAGGTTTTGATCTGCACCCTAGTTTCTAATTGCCGGTTCCATTTCTGCGAACTCTACTCTCTTCTGAGATGAGCCTGATTTCTTTCCTGTTTATCCTCTATCCAGGTTGTGCGAAAGCTCGTAGCTAGACTCTGGCAATTCCTCTCTCAGAGGAGAAGCTCCAGGCAGCTCTGAAGGAACAGCAGGAAGCTGAGAAGTTGGAAGTTGACAGCAGAGTGTTAGTTGGAAGGTAGGAAGAGATTTTTCCTGAGGGAATTCTGAGACAGAGAATGGGGCTGCACCGTGGCCCAGTCATAAGGAGGCCCCTTTCTCTTGGTCGCGTTAGAATTAATGAGCCCAGAAGACATCTGATTTGTTCTCATTTCATTTCTTCTCTGATGGGGGTTGGGAGCCTAGAGCAGACATATCAGAGTGAAACATGTGGAGGCAGGGCATAGAGGACAGCAGTGACTCATGACCTCGGAGTCTCATATCTGTCATCCAGTTGGAGGCTCTGATACTTCCAGAAAACACATTGAGAACGGCCCAGGGTTCCCTGGGTAGGAGATATGGGTGGAAAGGTTCAACACCCACTGTGACAGGATTATCCAGGACAGCTGTTGGCAATCCAAGCCCCATCCAGATATCGCATTGTATCTCAGGGTAGGTCGTGATGAAATAGACTTGAATATATTGCTTTGAGAGGATACCAAGGGAAAATAGTAGGAAAATGGCTTTCCCAGGAATTGCTCACCGCCTTTCACCTCCTATCCCTTAGAGGACTCCCTGAGCAAAAGCGTTCATGCCGTGGTTCCCAGGCCCATGCCAAGTAGGCCATCAGCCAGCCAGACTGCCAGCCTCTCTCTCTTCTCACCTCCAAAGAGTCATATACAGACTGAGAGACAGAGGGTTCTGAAAGCATTCCATGAAATGAAAGGCATCCTGGCAGTGGGGAGCAGAGGGAACTCAAAAGCTGGAGGAAGGTGAACTGGATGTGCTTGGTAACTGGGTAGCAGCTAAAGACCAACTGGGGCAGCAGAGGCAGAACATGAGAGAGCAGATCTCGAGCAGCAGATACAGGGATCATTGAAAGACACACTGCAGGTAAGGCTTCGGATGGAGCTCCTACACAGGAGTTTCAGGGGAAAACAGAGAGACTAAGTTTCCTTCCATTCTGGGCTTCTGCCCTCTCTTCCTCATGGTGACATTAAAAGGTTCCTTTGGTCCCTCAGTGCCCCCTCTCTGTCATTCACTGCAAGGGTCATAGGGATCATTCAGTGTGTGAATGGCAAGGGAAATTTCTATTATTAACAATTTATGAATAATGGCAATGCAAAAATTTGGAAAAAACATTCTTTATAGGCTCCTATTATCTGTGATCTAGTGTTTCACTAAGCTTATTCAAACGTGAGTCTTTGTTTAATGTTTCATTTTTGTTGCTGAGGGGCGGCAAATGTAATGCGAGACTGTAATATCTGGGTGAGGGATATGCATCTATGAATATGTGTGTGCTTCTCTGTGTGTGTATTTGTGTGTTTGTTTGGCTGGGGTAGGATGGAGAGGAAAACCAACAGAGACTTGCTAAGGAATGGTACCTAGTATGAATGTTAAAAAATGTTTTCATGAGGTTAACTGTATGGCTGTGGTCTGAAACTATGAAGAATATTGGGAAATTCAGGAAATTTGAGATTTTCTCTTTCGGACTTCTTGCCATTTTCTTTTTGCTAACTGAACAAAAATTTCTATACTTTGGTTCCAATACTGAGGTAATCATTTCCATTTGCTGGTTCTTTACCTTTAAAAGAAAACATATTTCTTGAAGTTAAGTTGAAACCTGTTGAAAAGAACAGTGCGGTTTATTTGTGCCTTTATCAAAAATCAGTTTGCTTTAATTGTAAAGATTTAGTTATGCATTATCAATCTGTTACATGTATCTATACGTCTATTCTTGCACTAAATCTCTAACCTTTTGATTGCTCTGGCTTCATAGAGAATTTTGAAATTGGTTTGGGTAAGTCCTCCAACTTTGTTTTTCTTTTTCAAAATTGTTTGAAAAAATTTGAAACACTTCTATTACATTGTTTCAAAACAGTTCTATTCTAAGTCAGACGTCCTACAATTTTAAGCACCTCACCCCAGGGAACATTTGGAGAATACTACTAGCAACTCGTGAGTAAAGGCTAGAGAAGCTGTTAATCCCCCTATAAGGCACAGGGCAGACCCATTACAAAGAATTATCTGAGTCAGTATGTTAGTAGAGCCAACACTGAGAAACTCTGTGTCAGGTCCTTTAAATTTTTCATGAAAATTTGAGATTATTTTGTTGATCTTTATTGAAAGGCCTATTGGGATTTTGATAGGCATTGAATTAATTTAAGGAACAATGTGAGGAGTATTGCCATCCTCACTGTATAAATACCTCCATTTAACTAGGTCTTCTTTAAACTATATCAAACTAAACTTAGCGCCAGCAAAGTCAGTGGTTTCACGGGGTTCTTGTTCTGTGCAGTAATAAAACAACCTAATACGGAGATTTTCTGAGATTCTGGAGCCATCTGGTGGCCAAGTCCTTGTAGATGTAAAAGAGGTGGTCTGAAGTGGGATCACCAAAAGATATTGGTGCATTTCTGTTTAAAAAACTAAAGCAAGTAATGATTCTAACAGGGAAAAGAATATAGCTAAAAGAAGTTGAGGTTGTGGATGGGCTGGTGTAATACAATATTGGAATGTAAATGGTCGGGAAATAGTAAATTATGTTTTGGACTTTTTCAGATATTGCTTTCTGGGACTTATTTCATATTTAAAAATCAATGAGATCACCTGTAGGATGTGTATAGGAGGTGGATAGAAAGAGTGGAGGGAGGCCAGAGAGACATTTACTTGAAGTGATTGGTTGCTTATACCTGCATTAAAGAAAGTACACTTCTTGAGGACTGTTACTGTTAATTATTCATCTTTGGTTCCCCAGAGCCTGAAATGATGTCTGGTATACAGTAGATTTCACCTTTGTCTCTAGAATAAATAAATGCATAATGAATTAATGAGGTCTTCTCATAATGGATTTTTTTCATGTAGGCCTCTTTTCTTCCTTTTAAATATATCCCATCTCCAGATACTTGAAGTGTCTTTCTCATATCCTCACCTGAGTCCTTTGGGATGGCTGGTCTGGGTCTTATCTCTATATTTTGTCATTCAGACTCTGGCCCTCTATTTAATCACACCATATCTAGGGGTGCCCGAGGTGTGAGAGGAAGCAGGGGAAAATTTTGTAAGGTAGGAGAGCTTACCAATCCTTTGAGAGTTGCCACTTAAATTCAAATTTCAAATAAATGCCATACCATCTTTTAGTACAAGGGTATTGGAAATATTACAGAGGTCATGCTTATACTGAAACATATTTGTTTTTTATCTAAAGTTAGAATTTAACTAGCCATTCTTATTTTCTAATTCTGGCAATTCTATACTTCACTCATGTTTTCTCTTTTTTCCCTAGGATTTGATTAATGCAGGAACCCAGGTATGCTCTTTTGGTCATGCGGACAGAATTGCTGCTATGAGAGTTATCTTGGAATCAATCTGAATTTTTAAAGAATCACAGAGCTAGAAATTTGGGTATTAAATAGCTTCACATTGCTGATCACAGATGAAAGTAGTCAATGGTAGGGAATTTGGATCATGGGATTTAGGGCCAACTGAAGCATTACAATACGGGGTTGTAGTATCAGAACTTCATGACTTCACTCATTTTAGTCAAACTTGGGTCTCTGCCTCAGTTCTTGTTCCTGGGCTTCATAGGTGTTTGTCTTTTGGCAGAGAAGGGTCCTGTCCTCTTTATTGGCCAGGCCCCCAAATATTCCATGAGGACAGCTCCTTACTGTGTACTTTTCTTCCTGAGGATAAAAGAAACAAGGTGTTTCTAGGTCGTTTTCTTTGGATTCACACAAAAAACAGTCTGAAGTCTCAGGAGATAGAGGTTTTGGTCCTGATGCCAATAATTAATTAATTTCTTCTTGTTTACACATTTTAGCTTCTGGTATGAAAAATGTTTTTCTTGTGTCTGAAGTTGCCTGCCTACCTAGAGCATCAAAGTCTTCCTAAACACATGAAATTCAAACCACTGTTAATTTGATCATTGTGACTTCTCCTTTTCTAAATGTCTGTAATATTTCCCCAGAGAATGCGACCGATATGCTATTGTCTAGACATCTGCACTGGGATAACAGGCTATGGAGACCCTCAGACTTTCAGTGTAAGAGACCCACACTTGGTAACCCTAAACCCCTCAGGAGCCACCTTCTGCAGCTTCCTACCAACCACCAGCCTCAGAATCCACATCTCTGGCCTCTCCCTGCTGAAACCACTGAGATAGTGGTGACTTCTCCATATATCAAATACTTTTTCTAGAAGCATCGAATACCTCTTGAAGGCACCATTATTTAATCTACTTGTATATTATTTTTCAGAAGTAGGGAGAATGGCATTAATTGTTGCCTCTGAGAAGGGAGAACATGAGCTCCTGTAAGCTAAAGAGCTTCCACGGTCACGCAGTGTGAATGGGAAGGTAGCGTGCGCGTATTCTGGGGGCAGGAGCAGGGCACTCTCCTCCCACTCCCTCCAGCTCTTCAGTGAAGAAGGTTAAAGTGCATCGCTGGAGTGAAAGTTGGGGGAAACAATGGTCTTGAGGTCAGAGACTTGAGGTCAGAAATGTGGGGACATCAATTTTTGTCTTCTCTGGGGGTGAGATATGGAGCTGGAAGAAGCCAAAATCATTTCCCAGAAACAGAAGGGTACATCCCAAGTTCCAGGGCTGAGCAGGACACCGCAAGTACTTACACTTGAGGAGAGCCAGCGTAGGCTTGTGTGCGGGTGTTACTCTTGTGGTGTCAGGGCAAAATGGAGCAGTGGATGCTGTTTCTAGATGATGGTTAAAGAGAGGACGTGGGGCTGTCAAGGAGAGGTGGAGGTCCTGTGCTGACGGCGGGACTATATCTATGGGGAAATGGCCGGGTGGCTGGTGTGTCCTCACTCACCAGTTCTCAGCCTTGCCGGGCTCTCCATCCCTGTGCCACCCTAGTGGGGCATAGGTAGCAGGGTTCACTCCTTTGCTGCTAGCATAAGAGTTGTCATTTCAGAGCTGACAGAGGTCCAGCGCTGCTTGGCTAAGAAGCTACACGGTGTTAAGTCACTAGGTGCTGATCCTTTTTCAGAAGTTGTGGTTACTGTCAGGTCCCATGATCTTAGCTTCATGTGTGCCCCCCTGCCAGAGTCCAGCTCCAGCCAAGGTGTGGGTCACGAAGGAAAGGACAGTGTCAGCGAGTGAGGAGATGAGTGAGGAGACGAAACACCCGATCAAGGTTGTAACATCTCCTGACATCAAGCGGCAGGGTCTCTATTTTTATATCTTTTTAAGGTTTACATAATGTTTAACATTTTTCTTTAATCATGAGTAATACAATTCTTTTCTTGTCAATTTACATAATTTTAGCTTATTACCGTTAAGTAAATGTTATCATTTTTCTAATAGTAGTCATTTAACATTTAATTTTTAACTTTTCCCTAGTGTATTGTGATTAGTAATTCATGTAAGCTATGTGCTAGGTGTTAAACAGAAAATGGCGTGAGACATCATGTGGGCTATGATTTTTACTTATAAGCGTGTAAGATTATATAGAGTTTAAGATATGTCTCTAAGGCTATATAAAGTTAAAGCAGGTTATATAAAATGCAAGCTATATGTCTTTTGGTTATTGAGTGTAACGCTATATTGTTAATTAAATTCTGTCTTACACATGTGGGTTGAGGCTTACATCTAAAGTCTCAGGATGGTACTCCTATCACTCATAAGTTTTAACATTCCTCAACATTCCTACGAGTACAATAGGAACACTTTATTATTTTATAATATTCATTTTACAATTTTAAATGTTTATACCTTTCCTCCTGCATCCACAGGCACCAGAGCCTTTCAATCCTCTTTAATCTTTTATATAATAACACTAAATTTACTCTTACTACCTTACCATTAATATAATAATATTTTGGCATAAATTCATTATAAACTTCTATATATGGGATAATTATAAATGTAAATCTTCCTATTTTACTCATAACTTCTTTTTTCAAGGGGGATACTCTTCTAATATTATAAGCAACATAAAGGGGGCTGTGGGCAGTGGGCACTATTAATCTCTTTTTATTACTTTGCTGTTTCATATAAGTTTCTTGGGAAAATGGGTTTTTCTAAGGCCTAGGTTCCCGTAACTCCTTCTCTGCCAATATTCTAAAGAAATCCTGGTTAGTCATGTTTGAATTATTACACAGGGGAGGAGAAACTGCATCTAGTTTGAAGAGAGGCCTGGGCTGTTCTGCCTCACTTGTTTGTGGCAGTCTGCCTGGAGCAGTTGGTCCCATAACACTGCTTTCATTTCCGGAATTGCTGCTTTGATCAAATTTTGGGTTATGTTATTTACTAAAGATGAATAAATCTTAAGTACATAAGATTTCCCATATATGAGCCCAATCACCAACATCATAACTGCAAAAATAAGTGCGGGAATTAGCAGGGCCCAGCTATGAGGTTTCCTGTTTTCAGGATTCCTCCTTGTGCCTGGACCTTGTCAAACAGCATGAGCAGCGTGGCCCACGCCACCCCTCCAGAAACATGCTTACATATTACAGTTCTTAAGTGTTCTACTCATGTCCAGTGCATCAATGCCAGATCTCTCCAGTCAATTCCCAATATTCCCCCTTCCAAGACACACCTACTCTATATCCCTCACCTGATCCTATAATTTTTCCAACAGTGGACATGATGCTAAATTCACTCAATGATAGTTTGAATATTGTCATTTCTCCGGGTCAGAGAAAAGTGACATTGTACACCCTTTTACATTTAAGCATACATATCCATGTGATTTTTCTGCTTTCAATATTTCAGACTCCAATATTTCTCTTCAGGGAAATATTACTGAGAAGCAGATGTACCTGGAAAGATCAGATCCTGGGGGTGTGCAGTACAAGTAACCTCAAAGAGAAAAGAGTTCTGGGTTTGTTTTTGACCCAAATGTAAACCATTCAAATGTCTACTCTGGATACAGACCTGAGAATGGCTCCTGGGTTATAGGGCTGCAGAGTGAATCAGGACAGTGTCTCTAAGGACTTTTCCACCTCTGATCCCAAGGTCTTGACTCTGTCCATGGCTGTTCCTCCTTGTCTTGTTGGGGTTTTCATAGACCGTGAGGAAGGCACTGTCTCATTTTTCAATACCACAAACCATGTGTCACTCGTCTACAGGTTTTCTAAGTGTCACTTTTCTCAGACTGCTGATCCCTATTTCAGTCCTTGGAACTGTCCAGACCCCAACGCCCTGTGCCCGCGAAGCTCCTGAACATCCCCAATCCCCCACCCATTTCTGTGTGACGCCCCTTGTCCTGGGCTCACCTCCTGCCCCTGAGCTCATCTTCACCTTCTCACCACCACAGCTTCCTTTCTTTTATTTAGAATGCTTTGCACTCGTCTGCTGGGGCTGCCCTAACAAAGTACCACAGACCGGGGGACTCAACAGCAGAAACGTATCGCCTTACATTTCTGAAGGTCAGTAGTCCAAAACGAAAGTGCAGGCAGGGCTGGTTCCATCTGAGGCTGTGAGGGAAGCATCTGTTCTTGGCCTCTCTCCTTGGCTGGAGGATGGCTGTCTTCTCGTGTCTCTTCCCATCATCTATGGGATGATGTATGTCTCTGTGTCTAAATCTCCCCTTTTTATTAGGACACCATTCATACTGAAACAGGGCCCACCCTTATGACATTGTTTTACCTTCATTAGCTCTGTAAAGACCTATCACCATATAAGGCCATGTTCGCAGGTATGGGGGTCATGGCTGCAGCATATGAGTTTTGCATGAACACAATTCAACCATGATGGTCTTTTACACTTCTCTACCATACAGTGAGAGTGTGCATCTTTTTCTTCCAAATACCTTGCTTCATTAGGGTTGAACACTTATTTCTTAGCCTGGGAAGCACATCTAATCCTTCTTACAGAAAGAACAGTATCACTCTAACTCCTCTCCCATCTCGTTTCTGCCTCATTCCTTTGCTACTGAATAGGAGTTACGAAGGAAAGCTTGTCACCCCCATCCATGTTATCTAGGACAATGCAAAGGAATCTGTCACTAAGTAGTGAAGTCTTCTGAGTATGTGGCTTTACCAATGGCACTCGACATTTATCATAGAGTTAAAGTGGAAAATGCATGGATAAAAAAATTTACCAAGAGTAGATTTTTGGTTCTCAGAGTTTCTGAGGCCAAATCTTATCCCTTCACTTAGAAGCTAGGTAACCTTGAATAATTAACTCACCATCTCTTAGTCTCATTTTCCTAAAATAAAAATTGATGTTAAGGATTGTACATCATTCCTAGGATCCCTTTGAGAAAATGAGTTTTATTAAAAGTAGAGCACTTATCTAAGACTCTTACATGTAAGAATAAATGTTATTATTGCTGAAAAAAATGTAAGCTGTGTCAATGTCCTGAGGAGCAGTTTTTGTTTGGTTTAGTTTTGCTTCAACGAAATGATAATTGGCTCTACTGAGGTCTCATTTTTTTCAGATCCCAAACCCCACTGGTGACAGTCTGAGCTTTCATGATGTGTCCTGTAAAGAATCATGTCTAGGTTAACTGTCCTCCTGGGACACAGCTTTTTTGGTGTTCAGTCCTTTTCTTTGTGGTGAAACACTTTTGTATGTCACTTTATTTACTAACCTATGCTCTTTTCTTTTCTAAAAATAATTTTCACACTTAGGATGAACACTGGAACTACCTAGGACTGCAAAGGCATGAATTGCTCTTAGAGAAGTTGCTTTATAAATTAGGGCAGGCTATGCCACTTACAAAATTTGAACCAATATTTGCAGGACTTCCCAGAAGGATGAGTATTGTGGCCATGATGAATGAAAACAAATGTTATTTGGTTTAGGATCAGTGTATATGTCTGCACACACACATTCACATGTACACATATAGTGTACCTGTAATCATCTGAATGCATATATGTATATACATTAACACTATCCTGGTTAGTCTTTACCAATATCATATACCAATATCATAAGAGGGAGAAATTTATATTGGGAAGTTAAAAGAGTTTATTAACTGTTAGATTTTTTTCCTATGGTCCCAAGGCTACTGAGTTGGAGAGGCAGGATTAGTACTGTTAAGGGGGCCATTATTTATTTTCCTCAGTTCTTGTTCCTGGAGCAACAAAGAATTGAAGGGTGGAGACACAGTAGTGAAGCAGAGTAAGTTTTATTTAAAGTTATGCACTTAAAGAGAGAAAAAGTGCAGGCGACCTTCAGGAGGAGACGCACCTGAAAGGTTTAAGTTTTATTTAAAGAGAGAGGACATGTGAGTGATCTCAGAGAGAGGTGTGCCCTGAAAGACTGAGAAAAAGTTTTATTTAAGGTAAAAAGGTGCACACTAAGAGAAAGGGGAGTGTGGACTACCTCAGAGAAGAAGTGTGCTGAAAGGTTAAGGAAAAGTTTTATTAAAAGATGAACTTAGAAAGTGAGGGCAACCTCAGAGAGAGGTGCACCCTGTAAGGTTGGGGGTTCCCCCTTTAAGGATATTTTTTTCAGGAATGTGGCAAAGGGCTAGGGGCGTGGACTTGTCAAGTGGTCCCAAGATGTTTATCTTTGATGACACACATTAAGTCTCTTCTCTTATCAGTTCTCCAGGTAATTGTGCAAAATTCGCTTAACACAAGAAGTTTACTGATCCGGTTCCTCTCCAGGATAGCAGCTTCCCTCTGGGAACATATTAGTCAAGACCACCTGCCCTGCCCCCAAGATGGGCAGAGTTATTGTCTGTTTGCTAAAGAATATGTTAAGAATCTTACTTCTTAATTTCCTGGGTTTTACAATGCAATCTTACCTTAAAGATAGAATCCTTCCTGTTTTCACTATGCTGTTTATAGCTGGGCTTGTTTGTTAAATTAATCATGGTGCTTGTCTCCTGCCCAGGTTGCAAATTAGTTGATTAGGGCTGGAAGAGTTAAAAACAGCATATAGGTTAAGTTAAAGAATAAACTGGGCCTTTTACCATGCTAAAGTAAATCCTAGAATGTCATGATTGAACTGGCACATTGAAGCAATGAGCTGTGCTCAGATACTTGTCTTTATCTGGGGAATATCTGGATATTCCAAGTTACTGCTGGCCTTTGGACCTTCAACTGATTAACTCATTAACTCTGTGAGTCTTTTCTGGTTCTCTGGTTTTATCTGGTTAAGTCTTTGAGTCCCTTTTAGTGGACTTTACTGGCCTTATTCTCTCTCCACCCCACTCATATCTATTTTCCTGCGTAACAGTACCAGGTGTGTGTTACTCCAGCACCTGTGTGCTTTCTGTACCTCACCACAGAGAGGGCAGCAACTTGACTGCCAAGTATATGGGAAGAAGGGAGAGCCAGGAGATGCTGACCTGCAGGAGAAGCTTGATGCATCTTCAGGAAAAGCTTAGGTGCCATGAAATGTAATTTGATGTGCTCAATCCATGTAGCCATTAAGGAGACAGGATAGACCATGATCATGGACAATAGGCTGAGCTGCTTCATGACTGGCACACTAGTGCATATGATGTAACTCCCTTAGTGTAGAGGGGAAACATTGTAATTGGATGGTTAAAAGGCTGGACCCTAAAAACAGATAAAATATTGTATAAAAATGATTAACCACTTAGAGGCCTTTATCAAATTGACTAATTTCTATGGGATTTAATTTTTCATTTTTAAAATAAATAAAAATAACAAAACTCAACCTGATTGGAATACTGTTAAGGGAATTAAATACTAGAATATTTATAATAATTCCTGCTACTTTCTAGCACATAAGCTCTGACTCAGAGTCGTGTCTGTTAATGGTTTTCTTTTTGGCTTCTTTTTTGACTTGAAATAAATACTTTCCTCTTGAATTAAAACTTCTGGTGCTGCCTTTCCAAGCTTCTGTGAGCACTTTGGATTCAGACTGACTGCTGGGTGGGCCATCAACAGAATACTTGCTAGTGTCGTCCACACCATAAGGCTGATAAACTGTCACAGACAAACACAACTGAAACTGCCTGTCTACAGTGGTTCTGAAACCAGGGACTAAACTGTATTTTTCAGTCTGAACTAGGAACTCCAGCAAGGAGGCCCCGCAGTGGGAGGCCACACTGGGGCTCAGTTCCCCTGCTGCCTGATTAGCATGTCTTGCTTGGACTGCCCTCACACTGTAAACCCTATTTCCAGGGGGACCACATGAACCTTGTATTTGTACCCTGACTATGCTGACATTGCCCCAGCCCCTCTGAAAGCTTCAGGTGAGCTTCAGCTGTGTCATGGCCCAAGCTGTGCTCTGCCTGAGTTAATGCCTTGGACCAGACAAAAAGGATTCATATAGATACTCAGGGAGAAAGCTTTCTGGCTCTCTAAAGTAGACCTTAACAGCTAGGGGGCATCTTTTCCTGACTTGGTACCTGTTGAGATTCATGGTTATGTTCAGCTTTTCAGACAGGTCTCATCCTACTTGGAGTGATCTCTGTCATGGCCTTGGTCCTCTGTTCCCTTAGACTAATTCCCAGTCCCTGACATGACCCCTAAAAGGAGGAAAGACAGCACATAGGCCTGGGCCTTTTTGCATGTTAAAGTGAATCTTACACATGATTATAAATGATTAGCATAATATAAACATGTGCTACTCTTTATCTGGGGAATATTAACTGATCTCACTAAACAATCACTCTAGAGTTTAATGTTTAACATAGAGTTTTGGTAGGGGGTTTCCTTGCATGTAGTTACATTGCTCTGACTGCAAATATCCTGCCTTGGTTTTTCTGGAGGCCCTCACCCTACTCTGACTACACCCACGGTCCCTGTCTCACTATGTGTAATAATTTAGGCCCTACCATTTGGCAGTTCCAAAAGCTTTACCTTCACAGGTCAAAGCTCCCCTGCTACACCAGACTTGATGCACAGCCAGTGTATTATTTTACTCTCAGAAGAGAGTTGCAGACACAATTTTAAGTTCTTGTGGTAAGAACTTTTAAGATCTATTACCTTAGCAATTTTGAAATATGCAATACACTATTATTAACTAGAGTCACCATGTTGTACATGACATCCCATGACTTATTTATTCATAACTGGGAATACCTTTTGACCCCCTTTACCCATTTTGCCCACCCTGCCTCGGGCTTCCACCAACCTGTTCTCTGTATCTATAAGCTTATTTTTTGTTGTAATTATTTTGATTCCACCTATAAGTGCAATCACGTTCATTCTTCTCTGTATGACTTATTTCACTTAGCATAATGCCTTCAAGTTCCATCCATGTTTCTGCAAATGGTAGGATTTCCTCATTTTTTATGGCTGAATAATATTCATAAATGTATACATATATATATATATACACACACATATATGTATATACTACATTTTTTTATCTACTCATCTATTGATAGTCTCAGGTTGTTTCCATATGTTGGAAATTATAAATAATGCTGCTGTTAATATAGGGATGCATATATCGTTTCAAGTTAATGTTTTCACACATTTTTGAGGAAATTAAGGTTACATTAATGGGGAATATATCAGCTTTACAATATTTATAACGTGAACCTACACTATTATAAACATATCAATATTACCATATTAAAATATGGATTCAGTGCAATCAAAATAAAACCTCAAAGTGTGTCTGTGTGTATTTGTAAACTGAGAATTTGCTTATAAAACTTCCATGGCAATGCAAAATTCCAAGAATGGCTAAAACATTTTTGAAGAAAAAGTTGAAGATCTTATATACCAGTATCAAAACTAGGAAATTTTAATAGTTTTTTTTACAATATTCATGCAAGTTTATACAAATCAACTAATCAAAGAATACTGCAAGTACAGGAATATTCTTAGGCCTCTGAGAATTCTCTCAAGTGACCACATCTGAACTCTAGACCATCTCCTAAGGATCCTCTATTCACAGCCTACTAAATCCACCAAGCTGTGTTCCATCTCCAGGGAAAGGAGTTAATATGGTTGATTTCATCCCTTGTCTTGGAGTGGGAAAATGGAGGGGCCCATATACCTTGAGTTTTCTCTCTTGGGAGTGTAAGGAAATACATAAATGTCTTCATTTCCTTCACCTCTGTGGAACTACTCTCAGCCTCAAAGTTTTACTTGTTTTCTTCTACATAAATATTTCCCACTATTCCTGTAAATAGAGAGACAGAAGACAGTTTGGTGAGTTGAAAACTGCAGTCCCTTAGGCAAGAGAAAACCCTCCCTGGCTCTGTGATTCTGTCAGATGACAGAGCCTCACATTTACTCAGTGTTTCAGTAGGGTCTGTGCCCGGGAGGACACAACTCTGGGAGGAAGGATTCTACCTGACACCCGTGATTCCATAATAAGGAGACAGATCCTGGCAGAAAACGACTGATTCTAAGTGCAGACTGACTACTGTGACCAGTGAAACGGGAGGGAATTCCGGAGGAAAGAGGAGCTCTGTGGGTAGAAGAACTAGGTCAGCATAGATTTTTGCCTGAAGCAGCGCTTGGATGGGATGTTTCCTTTTGACAACCCCTTTGTAATTTTAGTGATTAGTGGTTTATTTTTCTCCCCTTCTTCAGATTTGGTCCCTGTAACCCTGAGGAAATATGCTTCAGGAGGCAGTGAGTCAGCTCCAAGAGACTGGTAGCTGGAATTATGGAGACATTTGGGGGCTTTCTCAGTCACACTCTTCATGCCACAGGGCATGATGGGGCCATTGTTTTAAGGAGGGATTCATGAACACTCTGTTGTGAATTTATTCTACTAAGCTCAGCACCTGTAGGAGTTTAGTCTGCATCAGACCTGGAGATGTAATTTAGATATGCATTCCTTAGAACATTAATATTCCTTAAATGTTTCTTAGAACATCCCTTTCCTTTCCTTAAAGGTTTTTGAATGACTGTAAGTTGCCTGGGGGTTTGGTGGGGAAGAACCAAGCCTCTTCAAAACTGGTCTAAGGATGCTCAAGTTGTGCTTGGCCCTCCACAGCTGCACTCCCTGGCATCACTGTTACTGATTCCCTTTACAAAAGTACTTTATGAAATCAATCACACAATGGAGTTGTTAGGGGGCGGTTGTTTGTCCTCGGTTCTTGTCCCTGCTGCAACAAAGAATTGATGGGCAGAGACACAGCAGTGAAGCAGAGTAAAAGTTTTATTTGAAGTTTTGCACTTAAAGACAGAGAAAGTGGGGGCAACTGTAGAGGCGAGTTGCACTGAAAGATGGCATTCTCCCTTGTAAGGATTTTTCAGGAATGTGACAAAGGGCTAGAGGTTGTAGACTGGTTAAGTGGTCTCAAGATGTTTATCTTTGATGAGAGACATTACATCTGGTCTCTTCTATTATCAGTCCTCTAGGTAATTCAGCAAAATTAACACAGAAAATTTACTGATCCAGTTCCCCTCCAGAATAGCAGCTTCCCTCTGGGAACATATCAATCAAGACCACCTGCCCTGCCCCCAAGGTGAGCTAAGTAATTATCTGTTTGCTAAAGATTATGTTAAGAATCTTACTTCTCATCTTCCTGGGTTATGAACGCAGTTGTAGCTTTAAGATGGAATCTTTCCTGTTTTTACTATGCTGCTTATAGTTGTGCTTGTTTCCTAAATTAATCATGATGCTTGTCTCCTGCCCAGGTTGCAAATTACTTGATTAGGGGCTAGAGGAGGAGGAAAAATACAGCATATAGGTTAAGTTAAAGAATAAGGTGGGCCTTTTACCAGGCTAAAGTAAATCTTACAATGGCATGATCTACCTGACAAAATGAAGACATGGACTGTGCTCAGATACTCCTCTTTATCTGGGGAATATCTGGACATTCCAAGTTACTCCCCGCCTTTGGAGCTGTAACTGATTAACTCATTAACTCTGTGAGTCTTTCCTTTCTCTCTAGTTTTATCTGGTTAACTCTTTGAGTCCCTTTTAGTGGGCTTTACTGGCCTTATTCTCTCTCCATCCTGCTCGTAACTGATGCCAGGGTTCTTGTTTGCAGAGTCGAAGAACGAACGTAGCAAACAGGCAATGTAGGAGAGCCAGGAAGAGGCTTTTCTTTAGAGATACAGTGAGAGAACAGAGCTCCTGGATCACACCAGGAGGGGACAAGGGAGTCCGTAGTGGTTTGTTGTCTAGGGGGTTTATAGGCAGTTAGAGACAAAGAGCTAGAGAAGCAGATCCACTAAATGGTCTCTAAATGTTTATTTCTAAAGAGACACCAAGTTTCTTATCAGTTTTCTGGACTATTTTGCAAAGTTAACGTAAGAAATTTACTGCTTTTATTCTTTCTCAGAATAGCATTTTCTTGATTTGGGAGCATATTAATCAAGGCTGCTTGTCTTGCTTTCAAATAGTCTGTTATACAGTAAGTTAAGAATCTTACTTAACTTCTTGGGTGTAAAATTGCAATCTTATCCTTAAGATGGAATCCTTCCTGCCCTTCACTCTGTTGTCTATGGCTGGGCTTGCCTGTTATATTAATTGCCCAGGTTACGTATGACTTGATCAGGGGCTGGAGGAGGAAAAGCAGCATCTGGGTAAAGTTAAAGGTAAACTGGGACTTTTAGTAGGCTAAAGTAAAATTTACAATAGTCTTATTTAATTGACACAAGGAAGACATGGGCTATGTTGAGTATTTTCTTATCTGGGAGATGTTCAAACATTCCAGGCTAAGTTACTCCTGGCTTTTTAGTTTTAACTAATCTTCACTGAAGAGTGCTTATATTCCTAGTTTGATATTTTATTTTAGAGAATTAATGTGACTCTGTCTTTGCTTAATTGTTTATTATGGACTTTTGGTAGGGGTCTTTTTCCAGAGGTCCTCACACTACTCTTGACTATACCCATGGTTTCTGTCTCATATCTATTCTTCTGCCTAACAGAGTTAAAACTCAAAGGATGTTTTCAATGCAAAGGCATCTCCAAAGGCAGGTTCTCTTTAGTGCAGAGCTAGAATATCCCCAAATGGGGTCCAAGTTCTGGAAGATGAGAAATGAAAATACTAGGACAAAACCTCTTTATTATACTTTATTTCATCTCTAGGAGATGAGCATCTACTCTGTTTGACTTTGCCTAGGCCAAATGACTCAGGCTGATATGTTACAGAGGCATTGTCAGACTCACTGATGGGTAGAGCTGTTTCTCCTATCAATGTTAGGGAACAGAGACCCTCCAAGGTTTAGGGCATTGCCTCTGAAGCCAAAATTCATCTTCTGAGCTCATTGCTGTCTGCCCTAGTCAGCAGAATGCTACTCACTTGTCCCTGTGCATTTTCTGATAGATGCATTCTCTTATATTCACACCCCACTAAGAAGACATCCTAATCTGAACCACATCCTAATCTGTGTAACAAAATCTCCATGCCACCCATGGCATTGGAATCTATCCTTTCTAACCCTTCAGTTTATTTTATCAAACCTGTTGCCTGAAGCATGCTATTTTGCTCAATTACTCCCCTTTCCTCACAGCTCATCCCTTTAATAGTTCTAATATCTCTCTCTCCCTCTCCCTCCCTCTCTCCTCTCCCTTTCTCTCATACACATACACTTCCTTCTCCTTATACATATTTTCTTTTTCCATTCAAACCTGGGTCTATTCTAAATAATCCCGATTGAGAAAGGGACATAGTTACTTAAGTTTAATCATGTAAAATTACTGTCCTACAAAAATGGCCATGTCCTATGGTTTACTAATAAACATAAAAAGAAATGAGGTGGGGCTAATGGCGAAGGAAAGGGGTGAAAAGAAGACAAATATATCGGTGCCAGCACACACAGCAGATAGGAGGTATATCTCACCTGAATGTGGCACTTGCAGTTCCCATGCCTGTCCAGCCCGAGTGCAACTGTCCTCTCTCCCAGCCCATTCTGACAGCTGATTTGTCCTCAGGGCTTAAAAAACCGGTGGACCCCAGACTGAAGAAACCATGTATAACCTAAGCTGTTACAACCCCAGTTCTTTTATCCTTGCTGGAATACCTGGCCTGGAGAAGTTCCACGTCTGGATTGGGATTCCCTTTTGTGTCATCTACATTGTGGCTGTTGTGGGCAACTGCATCCTCCTCCACCTTATTGCAGTTGAGCCCAGCCTGCACGAGCCCATGTTTTTCTTCCTTTCTATGTTAGCTATCACAGACCTCATCTTGTCCACTACCACAGTGCCCAAATTGCTCAGTAACCTCTGGTGTGGCTCCCAGGAAATAACCTTCTCTGGCTATCTCACCCAGATGTTCTTCCTCCACTTCAGCTTTGTAGTGGACTCCGCCATCCTGTTGGCCATGGCATTTGATCGCCATGTGGCCATCTGCTTCCCCTTGAGATACACCAGCATCCTGACTCCACAGATGATCATCAGGCTCGTGGTAAGCATTGTTGTGAGGAGCTTCTGTGTCATCTTGCTGGATGTTTTTCTGCTGAAACGGTTACCCTTCTGTGGGACGAGAGTCATCCCACATACATACTGTGAGCATATAGGCGTTGCTCGGCTTTCCTCTGCTGATATCTCCATCAACATCTGGTATGGACTTGCTGTGCCCCTCATGACTGTCATCTCAGATGTGATTTTTATTGCTGTTTCTTACACCTTCATCCTCCATGCCGTCTTTCAACTCTCATGCCAGGGTGCCCGTCACAAGGCCCTCAGCACCTGTGGCTCCCATGTTTGTGTCATCCTCATGTTTTACACACCAGCTTTCTTCTCTATCCTTGCTCACCGCTTTGGGCACAGCGTCCCTCTTAATGTGCTCATCCTATTTGCCAACCTGTATGTGACCATCCCTCCAGCTCTAAATCCTGTTGTTTATGGAGTGAAGACCAAACAGATCCAGGACAAATGAAGACACCGTGAGTGGGGAGGGCCACCGAAGGAGAAATTCAGGCAACATTGATTAGGCTAAGTTTTATATAACAGAAGAAGACATACAATAAAGCTGTAACTCCAATTCACTTGCGATTTTAGAGTTCTGCACATGCTCAAAGTGCAGGAAGGAAAGGGGAGAAAGAAAATCTGGATTTCCAGAAAATCAAGGGTTTTCATGGTTTTGTGTTTTACTTAAAGAAGGTGATGATGGGTACAGAAGAGTGCTAATACTGAGGTTTCTCTCTTACCTCTAGCTAATTCTGTGATATTTGAAGGCTAGATATTTCCTAACATGCCGCTCACTCCTGTGTTTCTCAGTTCATGAACTAAAGGCAAAACCCCCTTCCTTTAATTCTTCAGACGTCACTCCTGCTTTACACTCCAGTCCTGATTCTATATATTATTAATCCCTCCTTCTGTGCTCTCTATTGCTCTACTTTTTTCCCTACCCATCTCAGATTACATAGTTGATTTTAATTTGTATTTATTTTGTTCAATTGCATGCTCCAAGCGAGTGTTCACTGTCCTTGGTCCATATTTTATAGTTTTAATTAAAGATAATTATGAGAGGGTAATATTACTTAATTCATTTCACAGATGAGGAAACAGAGACTTTACAGATTACAGAAGGACAGGCAGTAGGTTTAGGACCCAAGCACAGGTCTGTCTTATTGTGAATTCTTTATCCAATTGCTTCCTGGCATTTACTTACTTGAATGGCTCACAAACTCCTCAAACTTAATACCACTACCTTCCTCCATAAAGAGTGCCCATCTTTTCTGTCTTCCTTTATGGTAAGTGGTATCTCCACAAACATGAATTCCAAAGCCAGAAACCTATGGTTTGTCTTTACACACACTCAACCACTCGAACACAACCACACACAAATCACAATCACACATACAAAGCACACACAACACTCACAAATCCATAGGCAAAACACACATAACCAACAAAGAAGACAAATAGTACACATTTCGCACACTACACGGTACACACACAACCATGCACAGACACACCACACATACATCCTTACACAGGAGCACAACGCAGAACACACACACAACACAGAAACACGCAAAACAAATCTCACAAGACACACACCACACACCTCAAGGCACATAACTGCTCACAAAACACACGAAAAACATTGCACAGACTATGTACTGCACACACCATGAGACGTACTAAACAAGCACAACCACACACAGTCAACACATCTCACATCACGTGCATAACTCAAACTGCCAAACACACACACAACCTCTCTAACACAACTGCACACAAGTCACAATCACACACACAAAACAGACACAACACATACAAATCCACACACAACCAACAAAAACACACACAACACACCTATAACGCACTACACACACAGCTACAAGCATGCAGTATGGAGCACACGCAGACCCACACACAGACAGCACGAAACAAAACACACAAACACACACACAAAATACACACTCACAGAACACATCAGACACAACGCAAAACTAACATCACACAGAATGCTCAAAATACACAGACCACCCAACATCAACCCTGTACGTAACACACAGAAAGCATATAGACAGCACTCACACAACCCAGAACACAGTACATAGCAAAACAGACAGCAGAAAGACCAGACACATTACACATGAAACAGGACACCGGAAGCCACACAACAAACACACAACATATACAAACACCATGGATAACTCATCAAAAATGACAAAACGTACAACACACAAAGAACCACTCAATGTACACAACACACAACTCACAACCACACACATCACACATAGCATGCCACACAGAGAAAAGTACACAGAACAGTGTACTCAACAAGCAGTAAAGAACGCATACCACACATAGTACATGCACAATCCACACAACACAGACAGCACACAACGCATAGAAAATAAACAAGACCCACAGATCACAGACCACACAACCCAAAACACACAAGAAAACACAGCACACACAGCATAGCAAAACAGAATACACATAGAATCACAAAACAAACACCACAAATCATTCAGTACCATACACCAACAACACAAACAGCACACTACACACACAACAAGCCCAAGAAGCACAACACAGATCAAACAGACACAATACACAGTAAAAAACACATAACACACAACCCACACAGTAAGACATAAAACAAGGAAACAAACCGACACACAGCACACACAACAGAATGCACACAAAAATGTACATCACAACTGTTAGCACAAACAACACACCCTACATACAACACAGACAATACAGCACACAAAACAACACACACAGAACATACAACACATACAGCCACACACAACACACACGGAAAGTGCCAACACAACACATACAACACACATACAAAACACCCACAACACGCAAAACCAGAGTTTACATACAACCTCTTAACACACAAACAGCACGTCACACTAAACAACCAACCCCCCACACACCGAGCACATAACTGCACACAGTACACATGAACAACAGTTCTCAGAGTAAACACAACACACACAGTGAGGCACACTGATGAAGCATGACCACACACAGTACACACATCACAAATTACACTCATTACTCAAACAGCCAACCACCCACACAACCTGTACAACACAAACACACACAAATCACAATCACACACGCAAAACACACACCACACACAACACATGCAAAATGACATGCAAAAAATACACAAACCACAACAAAAAGAACACCGAATTTATGAAACACATTTCACACACTACACACATCACACAAAACACACATAAAACATACAGCACACAGGGCCTCACAGAACGCACAATGCAAAGCACACAACATATATACAAAGCATATAAGACACAGCACACAATTAATATCCCACACAACACATAAAACACACAGATGACACAACAAACGCACAATACCCAAAACAGATAAGAATACACACAACACACATGCAACTGAGAACACAATATGTTGCACATCACGCAACACACATGCAGTCACACCACACACTAAACATGAAACAGAAAACCATTCACAGACCACATAACATTCCCAACCACGAACACAACATGCTACACAAAAGACGCCAAACATATAACACACAAAGACACACTCCAAACACAAGCAAAACCTGTCCCATACTCCCCTCCACACACAAGGCAAACTGATACTACAGGTAATGACTTAAGACAGGACATTACCATACTTGCCTACTTTCAACTTCTCAAATGTATTACATTTCTCCTTGTCTCTCCTCCTCCTCTTTATTTTTTGCTTGGCAGTTCCTATTTAGGCTTTAATTAAAAATCCTTCCTCAGTCATTCCTTCTTTAATTCTGCATAGCAGATCATTATCTCTTGTATACATACTCATTGCACAACATAGGTTTTATGTCAGGACTTATGACGACTTTAACGCAATGACTGCTTGTACACTTTGCTGTTTCGGCCCATCCCTCCGCATGTCACCCAGGACCAGGGTAGTTGCCACCTTGTTTACCATTACAATCCTATCACTTGCAAAACTCCTAGTTCATAATAGGCATGCAATAAATACTTGCTGAATAAAAAAATGAAAACAAATGAGTTTTAAGTAATGAGTGAATTCTCTGATTTTCTGTCACTCAACCTAACCAGAGAGAAAATTACGGAGAGTCACAGGGAAAGACTTATTTTTTCTAGATAAGGCAATACATTACCTCAGTAGTAAAGTAATCATTGTTTTCCCTACTGGCTCCTCAGAGTTCTTCTTTAACTTAAGCATTTCCAAGTTATTCTCTTTTCATAGACACGGAAACTCATTTCCAGACAGCTGAAGTATTTTGTTAGAGCAGAAGAGAAGAGATGAGGAGAGTAAGGGATAAATTCCAGATTTTTGGCCACTAGACATTGAAAGTAGACTTCCTTGTTGGACTGATGGGAGGTCATATGGAGGATTTTCCCGTTGGAGGGGATGAAACTGTACCCAGTCTGGCTATCTATGATTTTCAGACACACATGTACTTTGTGTTAGACATTTGCCCCATGCAAATAGATTACTAGCTTGTACTCTACATAATGGACTGAACCAAAAGTTAGTGATGATTCTCCACTGAGCCAAGCAAGACTGAATGTTGAAGTCAGTATCTAAAAAAGAGTGTCCTCTTCATACCTGGGGAGATGACAGCCTCAGTGAGAAATGGCTCCAGTTTTTTTATCTGAGTCTAGAAGCAGATTCATTTCCATTCAACAGATATGTATTGATTGCCTTTTATACAATAAACTGTGCTAGGGACTCAGAAGAAAATGAAACAGTCCCTGCACAGGATGTTTTAGGAGTTCTAGATGGGGCCTAGAGACATGGTAGATCTGACTCTTACCAGAGTACCAAATTATTGATCAAGCTAGATCAAGACCTTGCTAAGACAGGTGTGTTACCACCCTGGTTTCCAAAACTTCCCAAGCCAGAGGTGTAAATTCCTAAACTGGGGAAGGGTTAGTTTGGTTGAATCCTTACTATGTCCTAGACAGGCTTAGAGCCTTGGACCTGAGGCCCGTAGGTCCACTGGTTCAGAGGCCCTCTCTTCTAAATTGTCTCTAATCCTTGGAGAAGACAAGAGAAGTGCATTCATACTTCACTTCTCCAGGCTCTGTGTTTGCTCACCCCTACTGTGGGCATGATCCTCTGTTTACCCCCTTTGCCCTGTGGCTGTCTTTACTGACCCTGGGACTGCTTCTTTTGAACTTTGGTCTGTTTTCGCCAGCTGTGTATCTGCACTCCCTTGTCCTTACCCTGACTTTACAAAATAATTCCAGGACCAGGACCTCCAAGGTATAAGCTGGTGTTGAGCAATGTAGGACTATTAGGGAATAGAGTTGGTAAGGAGCAGAGCTGATGAGAAACGGAGTTGGTAGATAGGAGAGAAGGAGGTTAAAAAGACGTGGGCTTCAGGAAAGAGGAGAGGCTAAGATCAGAACTTGGGATACAGCTGCAGAGCCGGCACTCACGCTACGAGAA